ATTAATAACCGTTGTTGTATATATATATTCCCTTTTCTTGTAGTAAAAATTAATTCTTCAGTTCTAAATTTGTCATAAACTATTTTGTAAATATATATGTGACCAGTCTTAAGGGTCGAGTAAAAACAGCTCGGCACGACACGTGTTAATTATAAATCTTGCTCATAGATTCAAATTATTTCTTCACCAAACAAATGCTCGTATTGCAATTAGTTTCCAAAATTCTGATTATATGATGTTAAGGGGTTATGTTCTACTGTGAACTTTTGAAAAAAAATAAATTTCTTTTTGAAATTTGACGACTTTATATCATTATCGATATACTAAACTTTAAAGGCATTTTTCTCGAAACTATGTTTTTCAGAACGGTGTCCACGATATCTCAAAATCTACTTGAACAACTATGCTCAAAATTTTGGGTACGCATTTAGTACATGTCTGATTACACTGTCCGACACGATTTTTGGGTTTCTATAGCCACTATGAAATTCTTGTAGAGCTTCACTTCCTGAACAAGAATCCGAAAACCGAATTGCTCCATCACCCTCAGTTTTTTAAATAAACGAACTTTTGTACAAACCCAAAATTTTCGACAAAAATGAGGTATTGCATGAAAAGTATAAACGTTAGAAGGTTCTAATTGGTGTTAAAATATAGAGGAGAGTTTTCCGAATATAGTGGCATGCAATTTATTAATTGAGATGTGTATAAGAGACAGGCTCTACAAGAATTTCATAGTGGCTATAGAAACCCAAAAATCGTGTCGGACAGTGTAATCAAGATGTGTATAAGAGACAGGCTCTACAAGAATTTCATAGTGGCTATAGAAACCCAAAAATCGTGTCGGACAGTGTAATCAAGATGTGTATAAGAGACAGGCTCTACAAGAATTTCATAGTGGCTATAGAAACCCAAAAATCGTGTCGGACAGTGTAATCAAGATGTGTATAAGAGACAGGCTCTACAAGAATTTCATAGTGGCTATAGAAACCCAAAAATCGTGTCGGACAGTGTAATCAAGATGTGTATAAGAGACAGGCTCTACAAGAATTTCATAGTGGCTATAGAAACCCAAAAATCGTGTCGGACAGTGTAATCAAGATGTGTATAAGAGACAGGCTCTACAAGAATTTCATAGTGGCTATAGAAACCCAAAAATCGTGTCGGACAGTGTAATCAAGATGTGTATAAGAGACAGGCTCTACAAGAATTTCATAGTGGCTATAGAAACCCAAAAATCGTGTCGGACAGTGTAATCAAGATGTGTATAAGAGACAGGCTCTACAAGAATTTCATAGTGGCTATAGAAACCCAAAAATCGTGTCGGACAGTGTAATCAAGATGTGTATAAGAGACAGGCTCTACAAGAATTTCATAGTGGCTATAGAAACCCAAAAATCGTGTCGGACAGTGTAATCAAGATGTGTATAAGAGACAGGCTCTACAAGAATTTCATAGTGGCTATAGAAACCCAAAAATCGTGTCGGACAGTGTAATCAAGATGTGTATAAGAGACAGGCTCTACAAGAATTTCATAGTGGCTATAGAAACCCAAAAATCGTGTCGGACAGTGTAATCAAGATGTGTATAAGAGACAGGCTCTACAAGAATTTCATAGTGGCTATAGAAACCCAAAAATCGTGTCGGACAGTGTAATCAAGATGTGTATAAGAGACAGGCTCTACAAGAATTTCATAGTGGCTATAGAAACCCAAAAATCGTGTCGGACAGTGTAATCAAGATGTGTATAAGAGACAGGCTCTACAAGAATTTCATAGTGGCTATAGAAACCCAAAAATCGTGTCGGACAGTGTAATCAAGATGTGTATAAGAGACAGGCTCTACAAGAATTTCATAGTGGCTATAGAAACCCAAAAATCGTGTCGGACAGTGTAATCAAGATGTGTATAAGAGACAGGCTCTACAAGAATTTCATAGTGGCTATAGAAACCCAAAAATCGTGTCGGACAGTGTAATCAAGATGTGTATAAGAGACAGGCTCTACAAGAATTTCATAGTGGCTATAGAAACCCAAAAATCGTGTCGGACAGTGTAATCAAGATGTGTATAAGAGACAGGCTCTACAAGAATTTCATAGTGGCTATAGAAACCCAAAAATCGTGTCGGACAGTGTAATCAAGATGTGTATAAGAGACAGGCTCTACAAGAATTTCATAGTGGCTATAGAAACCCAAAAATCGTGTCGGACAGTGTAATCAAGATGTGTATAAGAGACAGGCTCTACAAGAATTTCATAGTGGCTATAGAAACCCAAAAATCGTGTCGGACAGTGTAATCAAGATGTGTATAAGAGACAGGCTCTACAAGAATTTCATAGTGGCTATAGAAACCCAAAAATCGTGTCGGACAGTGTAATCAAGATGTGTATAAGAGACAGGCTCTACAAGAATTTCATAGTGGCTATAGAAACCCAAAAATCGTGTCGGACAGTGTAATCAAGATGTGTATAAGAGACAGGCTCTACAAGAATTTCATAGTGGCTATAGAAACCCAAAAATCGTGTCGGACAGTGTAATCAAGATGTGTATAAGAGACAGGCTCTACAAGAATTTCATAGTGGCTATAGAAACCCAAAAATCGTGTCGGACAGTGTAATCAAGATGTGTATAAGAGACAGGCTCTACAAGAATTTCATAGTGGCTATAGAAACCCAGAAAAAAAGTTTGATTTTGTCGGACAGTGTTACAGACCCTACTAGAGTCAACGAAAATTTTTTATTTTTTTTTCTATTTTTTAGGTCTCTGAAGTTTAACAAAACATGCAAAAATCGATAATCGAATTTCAAAGTATCGCCATTTTTTTAATTATCGACTTTTTCCTTTTGTTCTACTACCTGCTATAGCAAAATTCATATTAATTAAGAAACTTTCACGTTTTTTTTATTTTAGACAATCAGAATGACCGGAGTCATGGACACCGTGAGATGACTTTTTTTAAAAGCGACTATGTTGAGAGTGTGCAGTGCCACTAATTTAAAGCTTTTTTTATTGTAAGAAATCTTAAAACGTCGTTGAAAGGTATAATAGTTACTTCGTAAAGAAGTCTCTAACAAAGTTAAAAATACGCACTTCACATTAGAATACACAGTTAAGTTAGTGTAAATGAAATTGCCGGATAATGTCTATACCGATTTTATGAACAATTATGGCCGTCTTTACACACAGTAGTTACATTGTCTTGAGAAAGGTTTTTCGGAATTCTGAATTTTTTACGCTACGTAAGTAATTTTTAGTAATTATAGATTTAACCGATACCCGTATAGTTTTCTTATACAAATACAAACTTGGCCGCAACGTTGCAAGAATCACCGGTAACTGAAATAAAACTTTTGGCTAAAATACTGTAAATGAAAGCAGAGTGCAGAGTTGGTTTGCCAAATTCCGTTCCGGTGATTTTCCTTTGTAAAACGAGCAGCATACTAGACAGGACACGTTTGTTGAAAACGACGTCTAGATAGAACTTGTGGAAAATGAGCTTACTCACAAATGAACAATTCTACTTTAATACTATTTTTACCAATCATTATAGAAAAGTTTGAAAAGGTAATTGAGGAAAAGTGATTAAACTTCGAAAATAATTTCAAGTTAAAATTTTAGGAGTGATCTTTTCTTTCTTTCTAATAAAAATGGTGATAAATAAGAATTTGAAAGATGTTTTCTCTTTGTAACCCTTTGGAAAATAGTGTTAAAATCGTAAGCAATACCGAGTAGAGGAAAATCGTGAAATATGAAATACTATTTTGTTTTTCTTATGTCATTCTTACAAATCAATCAGAAAGTAATTATTTTTGTAAAAAATCGTTATTTCTTTTACTAATAAATAAAAAAAAGAATTTGTTACAATAAATTTTTTCTAATTCGCGTTCAGATTGTGCACAAAAATGGACAATTTCGGAATGGGAGATACGATTATTCGAGCCTTGGGACTCGTTTTTATAGTTGTTGACATCGGTGACTATAAAAACAAGCCGCAAGGCCTCGAATAATCGTATTTCCTCTTCCCAAATTGTCCATTTTTGTGTACAATCTGAGCGTCAATTAGGGAGAATTTACAGTACTTGTACATAATACTTGTGCTATTTGACAGAAACGAGAGGAAGTTAAGCTAGGACCAAATAATCTTAGCATTTATCTTGTTGCATTTTGTGAGCATTAGCGAAACTTCAGAAGACCGATCACGTCCGATTTGGCTGAAATTTTGCAAATAGCTTCATTTTGGATAAAATCAATGTTTGCCAGAAGGATTTTCCATCGCTGGAAGTTTAAGGCCCAAAATTTTGCAAAGAATGTTTTTATCATCTTAGTGTCATTCCCTGTAATTTTGAAAAATTCTATTCATCGATTTTGCTGAAATTCTGGAAACAGTTTTTTTTTAGATAAAAGCAATGTTTGATGACATAACTTAATTACTAAAAAAAAAATGAAAGAGACATTTAAGAGCTTATTTAATAAACTCAATCGCTAGCTTTATAATATCAACAGAGAGTCCAATTTTATGACCAAAACAGAAAAATAACGAGTCACGTTCGTGTCTTATTATGTTTAATGGCCAATTGTTTCACCAATTATAAGGTGCTTTCACGGATCAATTCGAACAGCAGGGTTCTATCGGTAACGCAGAAAGTGACATTACTGTGGTAAATCATCTTTCACAAAATTGGCTATTTTAACTGAAAATCACCGAAAATTTTTTTCGCGCACATTGTTTTTGTCAAAAAACGTACCTGCTTCCACAATTTCATCGAGAGTCGCTAATAACCCATCTGGTGGTTGATGCGACTTTAAACGCCGGATAAAAAAAAAATTTCAACGAAATCAATGCACAAAACTTGTTAAAATGATCGGGAACGATACTAAAATGGTAAAAACATTTTTTGCAAAATTATTGACAGAAAATCCTTTTGGTAAACATTGTTTTTATCTAAAATAAAAGGTTTTAAAACAGTACGGACATTATAAAGTAAAAAAATCAAACCTCACCAATAGATAATGAGATCATGGATTTCGTAGAATTTGGCTCGATCACGATGTTCTCCACAATGGATCGTATGGGGTTGTGTGTGTTCCTTCCTATATCTGACGCCTGAACGTTCCATCGTTGACGAGATCTCAAGACGGACATCTTGGGCCCAGAGCTGATAATGCCTTGTTCAAAAATCCCGCCTTTAAATGCTCGCGCGATTCAAAATGTAACACTCCGAATATAGTCTGTACTTATATCGAGCCGAGTTAAATTATAATTAATGCTGTCGTTGTGTGAAAAAATGATCGAAAGATCAAAGAACGACGGTTCTGGTCCAAGTGGTACTCCATCACTGAGACAAGATCGTTTCAGGTTCGCCAATAATCGAAATGTTCCACCGGAGGCTGGAGGACGAATGAACCGGTCTGATTGGTCGACTAGATTCCACACCTTCTTTCATAATTAATTTGAACGGATTCCCTGCTTGCGTAGACAAACAGCCGCGAGCTATTTTCCTGATTGTTATTCAAACTACGAAAGAAATTGGATTTTGATTTTTTCGAGAGACTGTGTTACTTCAAAACATTCACTGCTATGCGGAACATACGACTAAGCCGTTAAAAGCAGATTTCGGTAAATTTTATTTCATATAAAAATATGAAATAATTAATTTCGAACCGTTATCTTCAACGCTGTTATTTGAAAATAAAAATTAATATTTATCCATTTGAGATAATAGTAAGATAATAGTAATTTAAAATAATCAATTATTTCGTTATATTTTTACTTCAAATATGACAAGAGAAATAATCCTCAAAATAATATGCAACAAAAAAATAGTATTTTAAGAAATCCTTACGTTAGTTTCCTTGGAACAAAAAAAACTCTTTCCTCAAAAAGTTCATCCTTAAGAGATTTTTGTCCATGTTCATCTAATATTATCGCGAAAAATATTACATAGTATGAAATAATTATTTAACATAATCAGATCGG